GTCCACCCCCCCCCCTCACTTGATGAAGTTGTCAACGTCAACGCCGCTGTTCATGATGCCCGGCACGTCGGTGCAGCGAATGCCGTCGATCCACTCCATCACGATAACCTTGCTGCTGCACAGGTCCTGGCGCGCCCAGGGGATCTTGACCGTCGGGTCAGACGCAAAGTTGCGGCGGAACTCCTCGATGTTGCGCGCCTCCTGTGAATGGCGGGGTTGGATTTGGTGTGATTGTGTGGTTGTGAGACGGGCGGGGTGGTTTGTGATGCTGTTGTGTGCACATGTATGTGTGTGTGTGTGTGTGTGTGTGTGTGTGTGTGTGTGTGTGTGTGCGCGAGAGAGAGAGAAAGGGAGAGGACTGTGCGGGTGTCTCGGTTGCCTTGCTGCATGTGCAAGTTGAGCAGGTTGGCGGGGGCGCACCTCAGTTGACTACGGGCATGCCGCTTGATGCCTCCTTTGCGGCAGATGGGATGCCTGTCACGGCTACCCACAACTGCCGACAACACTGCTGCGAAACTCCACCTCAGCCTCGTCAACAGCCACCCGGCTGCATAAGCCTTTGCTCCCACTCCCAAAACACACACATACAGACATTTACAAACACATATACATAAACACACAGCAACCCCCAAGTCAAACACAAAATAGACTTCTGCACTCACATACCGTACACACAAACACACACACACACACACGCGCTCGCGCGCGCACACGCCACCCCACCTGCATGTAGTCCAGCTCCTCCAGCAGTTTCTCCCCAAACTCGTCCACGATCAGCTCTGCGTTGCAGCCCAGCCGCTGCCGCGCAATCGTGTTGACCAGCGCCCCCAGGGCGCGGAAGATCACCAGATCGCGGAATATGATCGGCTCCACGCCGGGGCGCTGCACCTTGATGGCCACCTCCTCCCCGGTCTCACGCAGGACCGCCTTGTAGACCTGCGGGATGGGATGGCGTGAAGCATTTATGATAGTGCAGTGTGATGGTGGGGTTGGTGGCTGATGGCGGAGCGACAAAACGAGCGAATCGCCACGAGTAGCACAGGCACGCATGTAATCTTGAGTTCAATCGACCACAGCGAGCGGTGGATGCTCGCCGCCGTCGGCTTGGGGATGCTCGCCGCCGTCGGCTTGGGGCGCGCGAGTGCGAACCGGCGAAGGCGCAGGGCGATACCTCGCGTGCGACGCGAGCTGGACGCCCGCCGGCGCCCCAGGGTGCACGCCCACCTGCCCCAAGGACGCGGCGGCCACGGGCCTCTCGCTGATGGACGAGAACACCTCCCCCAGGGGGCGCCCCAGCTCGCTCTCCAGCATGGAGAACGCGATCTCATCCGGGAACGGTGGCACGTCGTCCTGGAGGGGCGCGGTTGGTTGTTGGGAGGTTGGGGTGGGCGGTATAAGAGGCCCCATATGGCATTGGTCCGGGCGGCGACGGCGGCTGCGTTGCTCTGAGGCCGGTTGCTTGGCTTCCTGCGACTCCAGACGCCTCCCAGGTGCGCCTCCAAGCGAGCGCCCTCGTCTCGACGCCCTGCAAACCAAAGCAGATGACTTGCTCAAGGTCACGGATCCAGTCCAAGAGTTCACACCGCGCACCTGCAGCACGCAGAGCTCGTTCATGTAGTCCTCCCTCACGATGTCCGGCCTGTTGGCCAGCACCTGGCCCGCCTTGATGAAGGACGGCCCCAGCGTGGTCAGCATGTCGCGCAGCTGCGAGGCGCGCAGGCGCACGCGGTCCGGGGTGTCCTCGTGGCCGGTCACGCGGTCCCACCAGAGGCAGCCAAAGTAGGTTCCCAGGCGGGCGACGATGTTCAGGGCGCGCAGCTGCGGGCAGGGGTGGAGATGAGGGTCGGGTGGCGTCAGCGCGGCGGGGCGGGCGGCGTTCTGCTGTGCGCAGCAACTTTGGACGGACCACCGCTTGCTGCAGCGGCAGCCTTGGTGTTGATTGCCGGCAGGGGCTCGCTGTGTTCCGAAGCCGGCCAGCGCAGCAAGGCTCGAGCCACTGCGGGCACCCTGTGCCGCAGTCTCCAAGTGCAGGCGCGGGGAGCGGGCGGTGCCGCGAGTGCGGGAACGATGCTCACCGTGAGGGTGGCGGCGTCTAGGGGGTTGGCGAGCACCTTGCTGCGAACATACTGCGGCGAATAGGGGCTGGCAATGCTGCAGACGCCGCGCTCCTCATCCAGCTCGTCAAGGGCGCCGCGGCCGGGGCTGAGGGACAGCCTGCGCGGGCGGCGGTGGTGAGGCCGCGGGCGACGTCGTTTCCAGCGTCAGCCGTACGCGCCGAGGGGGGTTGAGGCTGTGTGCGCGGCGCGCGCCCCAGCACCCTAATGACACTTTGCAGGAGAGCGCGTTTCAGACCATGCGCGAGCACTCAGCTCACCCGTTCTGCAGCGACTGCACGAGCGGCGACCGCAGCGCCGGCGACGCCGCGGCAGCGTGCACTCGCACCGCACGCTGCCGCTGCCCTCCACCGCGCACGCCCGCGCGGGACTGCTGCGCGCGAGATGATAATTGATGCTGCATGCTGAAAGTTCAACACGGAATGGGAACGCACTGCTCCCCCGATTGCGCGCACTGCTCTGCTCCGATCCTGAGACAGACGAAGCAAGGCCTTTCGAGGCACAGTGGCTGCAGCGACGACAAAAACACGATAGGAACTCTTTTTCAGGGCCTGCGCAACAGGCACAATGCGCTGGACCGCGGGTCTCGGAAGGGAGCGAGGGACACACGGCGTCGGGGCACAGGTGCAAGCACGAAAAAAAGCGGGATATGTGCTGATGCCAGCAGCTGTGCGTAACTTTGGAAAGTCGTGACTGCTGCCGCCTCAGCTGCAAACGATGTTGTGGTTGCCGCTTTGCCGCTGCGGCTGGTGACGCCCGGGGTGGGTGAGGCCGCCGGCAGGGGTGCCAGGCAGGCCAGAGGCATAGCAGCGCCTCGTGCGGCACGTTTCATACGAGCAGCGCAGATCAGCGTGGGCCTGCATAAGTCGTGTGCATGTGGGTGGGGCACGACTGGTCCTCTCGCTGTCACGAGGGCCCATGCGGCCCGCCTCCACCAGAAAGCTTGGAAACCCTGTATTTGCCTCTACCTTCCTGGAGGCCTTGAGGCCGACAGTTACACGGTTGTGGATATCCAGCCCTACGCAACCCTCTTGCCACGCATGGCTGCCATCATCGCCGCCAGCTCACCCACTGCACGGCTCGATTCACCACCCATGTTCCCTTCTCCAAACACGCCAGCCGCCGCCCGCTCCTGGTCAGCCGCTGCCCCTTCAAGCCGCCGCCCCTCGAGCCCCACTAACCCCTCAAACCCTGCCGCACGCGTGGCCTGCCAGCTGGCCCACAGCCGCGCCATGTCGCCTGACAGCCGCTCCGCCGCCTCCGCCGCGCCCTCCATTCGCTCCCCCAGGTCGAGCCCCTGCATCGCCCTCAGCCGCGCCAGCGCCACCTGCGCCGCCGTCCGCGGCGCCCGGACCGCCGCCTCTGCTGCGAGAGCGGCGCGCCACGCGTCGACGAGCTGCCACAGCTCGTTGGCGGCATACGGCGCGAACGACAGCCGCTCCAGCCCCTCCCAAGCCAGCAGGACGTCGCTGCCGCCGTCGCCGCCTTCGCTGCTGCCATGCCTGCCGCCGCCGCCGTCGCCTTGACAGCCGCCGCCGCTGTCGCCCGCGAGCGTGTCATCCAGCGCGTCGGACGGCGCGAAAACCGCGTGCACCAGATCATCCAGATCGTACCTGAGCCGGTGATAGCTATAGGTGCCCCCGGCCGCCGCCCGCGCGGGCGCGTAGCGGAAGCCGCCGCCGAGGGCCCACTCTGCCAGCTCGAAGGCCTCCTCCTCCGCGCCCTCCACGATGTGCACCATGCCGCGCACGCGAGGCTGCACCTCCGGGATCGCAAACGCGGTGTACGCCTCCGGCTTGATCAGCGCCGCGAGCCTGTGGCAGTCCGCAAGGGCGACCGCCACGCGCCGCGCACCGGCCGCGAGGCGCTCGACCGCGGACCGCATGGCGCCGGGCGCCACGCCGGCGGCGTAGGCGGCGGCCATGGCGCCGGCGGCGGCGGGGTCGGCGTGGCGCAGGGCGGCGAAGGCAGCGGCGACTGCCGGGGCCGGGACGCCATAAGCTGTTCTGGAGAGGGTGCAGGATGACGAGAGATCGCCGAGGGATGAAGGGGATCCTGCTGCACCACACACTGGACATTCGAGGTGATTTCTGGTTCCAGACAAGCAGAAGGCGTGCACATGATTGATACAAGGCAGGTGACAATCGCCAAATAGAGCTGCCGCCAGGGAGGTATCAAAGCCGACTCCACCAAGCCATATCTTTTACCCCAGCACCAAGCGCCCCGACGCTTTCCAAATTTTACGCTAAGCACAACAGCATGCATGAACAAACACACCTGTCGTGGAGCGCCGTCACCTCTGCCTGCAGCCCTCTCAACTCAAAATGTTGCACGAGCACCCGCCTGTCTACCCTCGCCGCCGATCTGCGGGCCGCGTCGCGCCTGTTCCCGGCGCCGTCAGGCCACGTGACGCGCCGCGCGGCGCACGCGCACGAACCGCAGGCGGGCTCTAACACCAGGTGTCCGTCTGCGGTGCTGTGCACTGGCAACAGCAAGGCATCGTCGATCCCAAGGCCGTCTGCTTCTTGGTGCCCCGGCTGCTGGGGGGCCGGGTATGGCATCTGGAAGTGATGGGGCAGCCGCGCGCCCGGGCAGAGCGGCAGGCGAGCATCGCGCAGGCCGCGTGTGGAGGGGTCTGCGTCGACGCTGTACGGCACCATGCGCATATGTTGCTGCTTCTGGTGCCGCTGTTGCTGCTGATGAGGTGCCGTCGCGTCGTTGAGTGGGGCTGAGGCTGCCCGCACTCCACTAGCACTGCTGCAGCGTCTGCGGCGTCGCGAGGCCCGGCGCGTCGACATCAAGCCTCCAAGCCGCTGCGCCAGAGCGTGCGTCCGCGGCAGCATGTAAGAGAGATCCAGCATTCGCGCAAGGTGTGTGTGTATCCCGGCAATGGGCGTTCTAAGACTTCCAGATCGCTTCAATGTCAACGCAGCTTTACCCGGTGAGGCAGATTCGTAAATGTGCACTGTTTTGCATGGGATGAACCGAGTGATACAGCACAGAAAGGTTGATGCTGCGTGATGGTGCTGACGGGGACAGACCTAGCAGTCCATGAGTCCAGCAACCAAGCCTGGCCATAACGATAAGGTGTCTCACCAACTGGGAGTGGAGTGGAAAGATCTAGCCGGCGTGCGCCGCGACCTGCATGAAAGTGCTTTGTGTGTCACCCACCGGGTCATCAAAGCGCGCCGGGCACTTTGGGATCGGGGTCGGAAGCGCCTGTGTGTACATTGACTGTGTATAAATTGGCTGACTTAAACTTCTACAAATGGCTGACTTTTGCGTCACCCTTTATGATCAGACACGGTCAGCCGCAGCAGTGCAGCAAGACGAGCATTGCAAAGGTGCCACGACTGAGTTCAGCACATCGCGTGCGTGCAGGGCTGCCAACCAGCAAGCAAATGCTGATTGGGGACATAGTGCACACAAGCTGCCCGCCTGGGCACGTGACATGCACCAGCATTCGCGCACCTCCCGTCGTCACGAGACTTGAGAGACCCCGGCACATATGCAGGCTCACGTCATTAGCAAGCAGCACACCGAGGCAAACACGCAGGGCTCGCCTGCCAGGGCCGCTTTAAGCCAAGACGGCATGCGGCTCCCGCAGACCCAGTTAAATAACTTTCAGCAGTATGCTCTTCTGAAGTTCAACGGTTTCAGCGCCTGCCTGTGACCAACAGTTCCTTGCAGGGTGAACAGCCACAAACACAACAGGCTCGGCAGAGTGGCGACGGCTGTGCATATGTAGAGGCGAGCAGCAGCGAGTGGTGCACCCGCAGGCACAAGCAGCAGTGCAGGGCGCACGCTTACACGCTTCTCCACAATTGCTCCTGCCCTACCTGCCGCTCCTGGCCCTGCTGCCTGCACACAATGCTGTTCTTTTCCACGACGTGTGCTTGTGATGTATGAGGAAATTCGCCGCACGCACGATGATGGTCAGGGCGCAGCCGCAGGCCAGGCTCCCTTGATGACTTGGTTGATTTATCTTGAAATCTCAGATGAGGATTATGAAAGCTCCCCAGGTCTATACACTGGGCCCAAAGACCTGGTCAAGGGTCAGATCGCCGCCAGGGCCCTGAACACCGAACGTGCCTTGATACCCCGAGGGACGAGTGAAAAGGAGTCATTTTTCTGTGTTGTGTTGCACCGCCGTATGTGGTGCGGTGTGCCTCAGCCTTTCGTCAGTGATGCGTTCGTCACCGGGTAACCCATCATCGCATCAGCTTGAAACAAGACCGACGAAGTACAGAGTTTCCGTATCACGACGCGTTTTGGAAAAGTTGCAAAGTATTCTGCGATCAGTGGCAAGATCTCAGACGCTGTGCCCAGGAAGTTGTGAGCTGGTAGTCGCGCGCCGCCGCACACCACCGTTTTGGGCGTTTGACAGTGCGCGAGCTTGCAGCACCCCTTATCTCAATGGACATCACGAAGAACAGCACGATCCTGATCACAGGGGCCACTTCCGGCATCGGCCTCGCCTTTGCTGAGAGGTGCGCAGGCTGTGGCACCTTGCTCGCCTCGGCGCCCTGGAGTTGGCCACGCCTCCCACCACCGCCAGCTTCCCCCGACGTATGACGCCATGATACCCTACCCCCTCCCTGCAGGCTTCTTGCCGCTGGCAGCACCGTCATCGTCTGCGGCCGCCGCCAGGCGCTGCTCGATGAGATCAAGGCGCGGCACCCCCAGATCATAACGCGCCGCGCCGACGTGGCGTCAGCCAGGGAGCGCGTTGCGCTCAGGGACTGGGCGGTTTCCGAGTACCCTCAGCTCAATGTTGTGATCAACAACGCGGGTAAGTCACATGGTCTGGAGAGGACGGTCCGGGGCAATCACTGGCTGGTGCCTGGGGTGCCGATGCGGGGTGTGCGCGCTTGGAGGGAGCGCTCGACTGACGCTCGCCGTTTGGGCCGCGCCGCCTGCAGGCATCCAGCGGCATGTTGGGGCCGACTTCGCGGTGGATGAGCCCTGGGAGGACACCTGGAGCGAGGTGAGGGAGGGGATTGCATGATGGCACCCCGCTGCCCTCAGCCGCGAGAGGCGCAGCGGAGCTGCCCGAGTGGTGCACAGGACCTCGCCCTTTTCCAGCGACCGAGCGGGGCGCCGCCCGCGCCGCGCTGGCAGCAGTGCTCCTGGTGAGAAGCGCCCTTTTGCGGAACCGTCAAACTTATGGTCAAACATTCGCAGATTGAGATCAACGTGGGCGGCGTGGTGCACCTGTCCAAGCTGTTCCTGCCGCACCTGCGCACGGTGGAGCGGCCCGCCATCGTCAACGTCACGTCTGGCCTCAGCTTTGTTCCAAGGGTCAGTACTGGAGGGTGTGACTCGTGAAGAGCGCAAGGGGTGTGTTTCAGGATCGAGTTTGTCCAGGGCCTTCCCTGTTTTCATAGTCATTGGGAAGTGAAGGCATCTGATGCAAAGGGCGCACACTCGGCGGCGCTGCCGGGCCCACGTGCTCGCCCTCGTGGACCACCCGCGACTTCCAAACGCACACGCTTGCTTCTCCCCACCCCTGAAACAGGCTGACGTGGCAGTGTACTGCGCCAGCAAGGCGGCGGTCCACTCCTTCTCCGTGTCACTCAGGCACCTCGAGAGCACGCGGCCGCGCCCGGACGGCGCGGCGGCCGTGCGTGTAATTGAGGTCGTGCCGCCAGCTGTCAACACTGACCTTGGGGGCCCAGGGCTGCATGACTTTGGGGAGCCCCTGGACGCCTATGCTGATTCAGTGATTGCGGTGAGTGGGAGTGTGGTCACGCACGTTGCAGGGCGAATCGGGGCCAACAGTGTGGGGTGAGGGGCGACCATGGCGTCAGCACGCACAGGTGCTGCCAATGTCAGCCGCGCCTGCAACTTGGGCAGTCGGCGCCTTTGGCACACAAGTGTGTGCGGGCGTCTTGGCACCGCCATCCCCAACCTTGTTTGTGGAATCTTCACGACGTGCGCTTCCGCGCAAGTCCTGCCTCGTTTGGAGAAGTCCACAACTAGAAAGTGCCTCCAATTTTTGCCATACCTTGGAACCCAACATGGTGCCCAACCGACCCTCCCAGGACCTGGCTGCCGGCAAGGACACCAGCTACTACGGCTTCTCAGGGAAGCTGGCATCGCTGCCGTCATCCGGGGAGGAGTGGGACAAGGCATTCACGATGCTCAACTCACTGGGCAAGTAGGCCACCCGCCACACTGTCACACAGCAAGCAGCGAGGGCCGCATAGGGGACCTTTGTTGTCCTTGGGGTTGCACGTGGTTGTCTGAACCCGTATGCTGTGCCTATTTTTTAGGTGTTCGGCCACCACGCATGTTCTTTGCAGGCTGTGCCCAGCCCTCTGCTCACCATGCCTTGTTGTAAAGTGGCCTCTTCTTGCCTGTGACTTACGCTTTCGTGTTATCCACTGATAATCAGACCGAGGCTGGACTACCTCTTGGACTGTGTGCCTCAACTAGTAGTTCACTTTAAGCCCACACCACACGCTTGGTTCCCTCAGCTGCAACCGTCTACGGCACCGGCATGCACTGGCAGTGGTTCAAGGCTGACAGCAGCAATGGGCCACGCGCGGTCCAAACGCACGGTCAATGCAGGAATTGCCAGGGTTACAAAGTTGGAATTGCAGTTTGTGTGAGGACAGCCACAAGGAAGGCCTTGCCACAGGTCGCATATGTGCAACTGGAAATGGCAACACAAGCATACA